GCTCCTCCCCTCCAAACAACCCCCATTACCACTGGTTGAACAAGAGTTTTTAAACGGGGTGGGGGGGCTTACAATCAGTGCCACGTGTGTCTCCATGCTGCCACCAATTAACGTCTTTAAAATCCCCCCCAGCCCGCAGTAAATCCCCCAGCCAGGTGCAACTGTTTCTCTATATCTCTCTCTCTGAGGAGGTGAGACTACATAAGTGCGTTGGCTTTTATTTGCCCCCTTAAATCCATCGCCCCCCCTCTCGGAGCGCCACAAAGCGCGGACTGCTCCTTTAAGAGGGTTCTGCCGACTCCCAGTGGCGACTGAACTAGAAGGAAAATGGTTAAAAAAAACGTGGTCAGAGCACAGACACCCTGCTCTCCCCCCCGTATTAAAGAGGGCTTGGCTTACCTTAAAGGTGAGACCCCCCCATTAAAGGCTCGGACTCATTAGTTGCATCACCTTGGTCCTCGGTCCCCGCCAGGCCAATGACTCCCTCTTTAACTCCTCCCTTGAGTGTGTGTAGTTTTTTTTTTTTTACTCTAAAAAGGGGCTGGGGGCTAGCAGCACACACACCCACACACACACACACACACCCTGCGTACAACCTGTGAACGCCACGTCGCGTGACGGTGGGTTCCCTTCGCCGCGCGCTTCCCTGACGCGCGCCGACCGGTCCAACCTGCCCGGAATAAATAAAAAAAAACTGCTTCAGCTCAGAATAAAAAGCTGAGTCAGCTCAGAATAAAAACTGAATCAGCTCATAATAAAAGCTGAGTCAGCTCAGGATAAAAGCCTCCCAATAAAAAGCAGTGGGTCACCGTGGGAGCATGATGCGCGTTTGCTGAAACTGCCGGTGCTCCGTTTGGAGGGGGGAGGAGGGGGACTGGAGGGGGGAGGGGGGGGGTGCTAGAGACGCTCATTCTTTTGTTATTAGAGCGTGCGTGCCGCAGAATCACGCCGTGCGCGTTTGCGGGACCTGGTGCGGGAGCTGACCGCTCCGCGCACCGGGACTGGACAGCGATGAGGACTCGGGTCCACTCACTGCCCGGTGGAGGCTGAAAGAACGCGCCAGACAGGTGTGGTGTCTCGCGCGGCCAGCCACCGACACACGGAAGCTTCTCCCCCCCCAAAGCAGAAGAATGCCGGTATGGGGGGGGGGGCAGAATGACAGATACAGGCGGAGGATGGACGATGGCACCTGAGAGGGTCCAGTTTTTGTTTTATCTGGCATGCAGAGCAGGGGGGGGCGGGGGCTTTACCTTATTTCTGGACCGACCAGGTTGTGGGGAGCGAGGAGGAGGAGGAGGAGACAGTCACGCGGGCGCGGTGTGGTCAGAGGAGGGAGGACAGGGGGTGGACGCATGAGGTGTGGAAGAAGAACCATAGTGCACGTGTGTCTATAATGTCTGATTAGAGGGGAAACATCATTTAATAAGAGCAACAGTAGTTCTAAACACGGTGGACTGTCACGAGGGTGGGTCTTGGAGGGAGGACTCAGTCGCGGAATGAGGGGAACAAGGTTTATTGACAAAAAACAGGGTGAATGTCCAGACAAAGTACAAAACAAAGCTGTGGCAAACTGTGGGCAAAGTAACAAAGCAATGAGCAAACAATACTGTGGCAAAAACTATGGCTTGACAAAGTAACAAAATAAAGATAAACAAGACTATGACAAAACGTGACTATGACTGTGGCAGAACTGTGACGAAACAAACCTGGCATGGGGGTGACGACGGACGAAAGGACAAGAGACAAGACAAGAACGACCCCGCACCAGACAAGGGGAAACGAGGACTATTTAAACACAAGAGGGAGGGGAACCCCAGGTGCACACAATTGGTAATCAGGACATGACGAGACACCAGACGTGACATGGACAAAGAATTCCAATAGTTCTGTCCTGTCACCTGCCAGTTAAAAACCTTTCCCCATTTATGTCTGATGGCAAAAAGCAGCATCCCTCAGGAGTTCTGGCCGAACATGTTTCCTATTTAAGTATTCCAAAATATTAACCAGCTCCAATGATTCACTTTACATCTTTGTTGAATTGGCATTGGTTATTTTTTGTTTTTTAATCTACTTTAAATTCAGTTTTGTTTTCTCTGAACTTCGGTGTTATTCAAATAAACAGTGATGTATGTTTTGTTAGCCCGATTCTTTAGTTGGAACCCTGATAGTAAACCAGTGTAGATCAAGAGTTTAAAAAAAAAAGACATTTATTAAGTCACAGATAAAGTATATCAGCTGGGCTTTAACAGACAAAAAACTCTCTCTGGGTCTCAGTCTGCAAAGAGCCCTGGACACAACCAAGTCCTATTGGCTAGTTACCTCTGGGCATGAACAGGCCAGGTCCTAATTCATGCAGATGAAAGGAATGAAGTAACAAATGGTGTGTGTGTGGATAAAGGTGTGGATCTTATGCAACAGAGAGAAAAAGAGAGAAAGTGAAAGAGAGAAGAGAGTCCGTGGACACAGCCAGAGACTTTGACACAAAAGTACAGTTCTAAAAGGAATAAGACAATCAGTAATTTACATAGATTATGTTATAGCATACAATGCTAAAGAAGGTAACTATAGACAAATTGTAACAGTTTTAATATCTTTTGGTTGGAGGGAATGCATTTGAAAGGTGGCTGATAGGTTGTGTCAGATCACGTCATCTTTTGGAAATTGTTTTTAAAAATATAGAATTAAGTTCCTACATAAGAGTCAAACTGTACATTTATCTTGCTTCGAAAACTAAACAAAAGACAGTACTCCTTCCAAATCCATGTGTCCTGAGTTTACCTTATTTCAACCTTCATTTAATTAGCTTTTTAAAATTACTACAGAAACATAGCGTATGCCAAAGAAGTAACTGTTCTGTAAAGCGATGCCAGAAAAATACAGATACAGTTACAGCTGCTGATGGAAAAGCGGAGCCAAAATGTAGAAACGGCACAGATGGACACTTCATGGAGGGTTATTAGAAATGGAAAACGAACCAAAACCAAAAGCATCGCGAGCTTGAAAGCCATTAATTATAGTGAGAGAACCAAATATAAAACTAAATACTAAAACCAAACCACTTAGAAATAAAGCGAAACACAGAGAACAGAAGGCAGATCCTGTATGTGAGGCTGTGACTTCCACTGTTGAGTTGATTCAGGTGTGGAAGATAACTGGGGACAAAAACGAGGGAAATGAGGATAAGTGGGAATAATGATTAGAGCAGAAATCTCCAACACAATACAAAATGTTGTCCTAAATTGAATACGAACAGAGCAGCGTGTCACAAAGAAGTTTAAAAAAAACTATGGCCACATGCGAAAACTGTGGGATTATCATTATGATGGAAAAGACAAATAGAAACTGGACAAATAACTCATAACACTAATATCACTAAATGTAAACAGAAAAGTGGTAGAAAACAAATAAAATGACAAAATAATTTTTCAAATCCTGTATTTTTCCACAGATGAGAAACTCTGCGTAACATGTGCTAGGTTAAGTAATCAACGGGACCAAACACCACAGTTAGTATGCAAATGTTGTATTCCTCTAAGGCTGTTGTGACTCGCTTGTGGTTTCAAAGAATTCCAGAAACGATTGAAATGAAGGGCGAGCAGGTTTTTCCGGGATTTGACTTTACAGTTCTCGTCACAGCTTCTTTCACCCGACTGTGACTGCGACGTCTAAGACAAGATCACGTGTTTTAGACAAAAACGCCACACAAAACACGGGAGAAATCATTCCCACCATCTTTGTGTTAAAAGGACACATTTAGAAGCTACAATCTGGATCCTTGTCAAGAAGTTCTTTGGAGGCAAGAGTTAAAAGGCACTGTAACCGTAGACGGTTTAGTCCGCCCATGACCTTTTTCTTATGACCCGGAGGGATAATGTTTGAAAGTTCAAAGAGTGATGTGTCTGACACAAATCCCTGTCAAAAGCACACGTCTCCTGAAAGGCTTCATGTGAACCACGTCAAGACTTGAGCTTCCCACGCTGAATGCTGCTAAATCTGCAGATGTTTGGTTGAGTTACGGGACTAAAACATTGGAATTACTTCCAATAAGTTTCTTCCTAAACGCTTTGCATGAGGAGTCTGACGTCTGACCCGGTGACGGTTGACAAACCCCAGAAGCGCACAGGGTTAGGTAAACAGGCGCGCACATAGCTTTGCCTCCTTGACAACATGAAAACACGCACTCGCACAGAATACTGATACGCTCTTCCCACTAAGGAGAACTGGTAAGATGGAAATGCTAATGCAGGGCAATGCTACATTCCTCCCCTTGTGAATTTAAAATGGGCAGAAAGGTTTGGTATCTTATTATAGTTGTCAAACAACATCTCTTCCTAATGTTTCCTTTTGAAACAGCAATTGCAGGTTTTAATTATTCTAACATATTTTCCCCCTAGCAGTATATTTTTACAGGTTGCTCTACAGATAAGTCTGATCACCCTGCAGACGTGCACAGACATGTTGGCTGGGGACTATATAATTTTCTTTGGCATTTCTCCAGTGGCTGTCATGTTTCTTTTCAACAGATGAGGAAAATGGATGAGGGCATCAGTGTGTATGTGTGTGTGTGTGTGCATGTCAATATGAGCTTTCAAAACTGAACATGCCAATCAAAAATACACAACACAATA